TTTAGTAAATGCTTAGACTGTCTTTCAGTGCTGATTTTCAGAATAGTTTGTAGTTTAAAAACAATGCAGATTAAAGTTGAGAATAATTAACAATGAAATATATTAAACAAATAAGCCAAACAGTAATCCTTCCAGTTGGATCTGAAAGTAGAAGTCAAGTCTTCCCTTTAGAAGAACTTGTGGAAAAAGAATATTTTTGTCAATTTCCTAAAAAAAGGTAACCCTTTGAATCTAACTTACCTAAGGCATCCCTTGATGGAGCCTGTTCTATAACTTTGGGGCAACTACTGAAAAGGCCTTGACTCTTAAGAGATGTTTGCACTGCTTCTCACACTAAGTCTGTTGTCTGACTGCAGCCCTAGACTGTGAAAACAGGGAGCTAGATCTAGCCAGCTTTTTCTCTCAAACTTGGCCAATCTTTACTCCAGTCCCTTGTTCCATGTGGCTTTTGAATATCCAGTGTCCATGATCCCCCATTTTGACTGGTTGCATTGGGCTTCTCTTTTGCTTTTCACTGGCACAAAACTTGGTTGGATCTAATCCAGGGAACACAGATGCGTCCTTGTGTGTATACCAGCCAGAAAAGGTCAGACCCCCCAGTGCCTGTGTGAGGGAAGTGTCACTACTCAGCATGGGTTGTAGGCCATTAATCATATGTTGAACTGGCTTGAGTTTTGAGCTGTATGTGAACACGAAAGGTGTTATGTGAACATATGACCTTTTCTTGCTTACAGACAGCCTGCTAACCTAAAACAACTATTCACCTGCAGTGATAAACTACTTAACAGTAACATGGGCTTTGGTACCAAGGACTGCAACAAACCAAGATACCAACTTTGCTCTTCTGTAGATCCTAGCAACACAATCAGTAGACCCAGCAACATCAGCCAGACCATCTCAGATTCATACTTCTCTCATCCTCTGATGTGGTTTATGCCATCACATGTCAGTAATGCCCTTCCACCCTTTACATTGGACAAACAGGCCAGTCCCTACAACAAAGAATAAATGGACATAAGTCTTGACATTAGAAACTACAACGTTCAAAAACCAGTGGGGGAACATTTAATCCTTCCAGACATTCAGTTGCTGGCCTAAGAGCAGCAGTTCTCTTACAAAGGAATTTCAAAGGGAGATTAGAAAGAGAGACTACTGAATTGCAACTGATAATAAAGCTCAAGACAATGCATCTTCCTGGACTGAATCGAGACCTAGGTTTCCTGTCTCATTACCAATGCTGATTTCTCCACCCTTACTATCCCTCTGCATATCACACCTGATCCAATCACTCCTGCTATTGTCATTCACCTGCTAATAACAACAACAATAATACAGTCCACACTAAACAATGGCCCAAAAACCAGCAAATAACAACTGTGTACTGCACAAACCCACACCAAAGTTAACAAAAAGAGACTTCAACACAAAGGTAATTCAACACATGTAATCTATCATAGGAAAATACAAAAGTCCACAATATCCCAAAGGGAAAGAACAAAGTCCAGAACAGAAATTTCTCAAAGGGAAACAATGAAGTCTGGAATAGATATCTAAGCTTTAGAAAGCACCTACCAAGGTTGCTATTATGTAAGTTGGACCAAACATGCCTCCATGGAGACCTGGCCCATATAGAAACTGAATAAAGTTTGCCTGTTAAGAAATTGCAATGAAACTTCCTGTAGTGGCTTTTTGTTCCTGAGGAAGGACCAGAAGTCCAAAACACTGAACAATACCTAGGAAAAGTGTTGATATCTATTCCAGACTTCATTGTTTCCCTTTGAGAAATTTCTATTCTTGACTTTGTTATTTCCCTTTGGGATATTGTTGACTTTTGTATTTTCCTATGATGGATTACATGTGTTGAATTACCTTTGTGTTGAAGTCTCTTTTTGTTAACTTTGGTGCGGGTTTGGGCAGTACACAGTTGTTATTCACCTGCTAATGTCATTTGGCACCTGAAATCACTCCAGTCTCCAAGATATAAGGAAGAAGTGAGTGGTGACTCGTGAAAGTGCATTTTTGTTGTTCAGTCGCACAGTCGAGTCCAACTCTTCGCGACCCCATGGACTCGATCCCGCCAGGCCCTCCTGTCTTCCGCTGTCCTCTGAAGTTTGCTCAGTTTCATGTTCATTGCATCGTTGCATCGATGACACTGTCCAACCATCTGCTATGCAGTTTTCTGTGAGGAAGGGTGCTTCTGGGCTAGGGATGGGCACAAACCATTTCATAAACCAAAGTTCTTGATTAATTTTGGCTGGTTCGTGGTTCATAAACTGAAGTTTGTGGCAAGTCTACCATCACAAATTTTCATGATTTTTATGCAGTCCATGGGCAGTTTGTGGTGGTTCATGAATGGGGGCATTGGGGGCCATAACTCAGACTCCCTAAATCCAATCTGTACATAACTTGGTGGGCACATAGAGAAGCATGGGGGGTCCTCTGCTAGTTTGATGACTCTAGCTAGCACAGGGTCCCTTCTATACACTCCTGAACCTGAATCTGTTATTTCCCCAGAAATCACTTTCCTGGGGGCACCTTTTTTGGGAGCCCATAACTTAGACCCCATAAATCCTCACCAAACTTAGAAGGCAGGTAGAGGAGAGTCAGCCAGAGATCACCTGTGCGTTTGATGTCTCTAGCATGCCTGGGAGCCATTCTGCCCATCACAAACTATCACTAGTCCGATTTGTTTGCCTGGAAGCCTTCCAGTTCTGTTTGGTTCATGGCCTGTGAACTGGGCATGCCACAAACCAAAATGAACTGCATTTTTCTGGTTCATGCCCATCCCTATTCTTGACACATTCAGGGAAGCCATTCCACAAGCACTGGTGATTTTAACCATCCTGCAAGAGGTGATAGATAGGAAAAAGTATAAGTTAGCCTATCTAAGTGTCTTTTTTGTTTTCTATTTGTGTTGGAGTCTTGTGTAAAGTTCTGATATATGTTCCTGTAATGATTCCTTGTTTTATATGTGTGTGTGTCTCTTTAAAAGTTTGGTTGCATGGCTGTGTGATGGACTAGAGTGCTTGAAGAGACAAGTGTGGTGTGATTGGTGATTGACAGAGAGGGTGAGGGGTTTTAGAAAGGGTTTCTGAGTGGATGAATGGGTATGTCCTTCAGGAGTGATAGTTAGAGGTTTGACAGTTTAGACAGTTGATGAAGATAGTGGAACTTAGTTTTAGTTTTTCTGAGGTCTGTGAGAGAAGCAGAGAAAAGTTGAGTTAGTTCTGTGTATGAAGGAAGTTAGAGAGAATAAGAAAAAGTAAATGAAAGCTTAATTGAAGAGAAAATATAAGAAAGGCTGTATGTCCTGTTAAACTGGAGAGTAACAGTGAACTTATAAGACCTTGAGTTAAAGTTACATAGTTACCTGAAAAATCCCTGACAGACAGGGAGCTGATCTTGTGTGAGACACT